CGGGCGGCCGCCAACACGCATTTAAGTGGATGGCCGGCGGGCTCATCATTGCCGTTGCTAATATTGCCACCAGCTGGATTGAGTTATTGCCGGTAAAACCTTTTCTGATTAAAATGCTCAGTCCCGGCCAGGCACATATACTTTCTTTACTTTGTGGCAGCGCAGTTATTGTGCTGAGCCTGTACTTCCTGCTTTGCATTTACAGTATTCTGCAGCAACGAGGGTTCCCTAAAGAACTTTTATTTTTTACCGCGGCCTGCCTGCTGGTAGCAGCAGCCTGTGTTAAAATAACCTGGGGTTTCAGCTCAAGGTATGCAGCACAGGCAGTTCCGCTGCTGGTACTGATGGGCAGTTATACCTACCGGAATTCGAAATACAATATGGTGGGCCTGCTGCTGGGAGTAGTTACCGGCTTCATCTGTATTTTCTCTTATCTTACGTACAACTGATTGGCAACCGCCTCAGACAACCGGTTTAACCAGCACAACAAATAATGAACTGCCCCATGGCTTTTTGCGAATATTCCTGTTCTCAAAACTGGTAACGGAATGAAAAAATGCATTCAGGAACTTGGAGGGCATTTTTACGTCAGACACAATATTTTTCTTATCCATAAACAGCAATTTTATTTTCTGTATGCTACGCACCAGGAAGATAACCGGAGAAAGGATAAAGGGCCAATAAATGATGTCCTTAATGATTGCTTTTGCAGCCACCAGTTCACGGACGGCTTTCATTGAATAACGCCGCTGCATATTTACAGCAATATCATGCGTGCCCCTGAAACTTTCCAGCGCAGGAAGGTTCATTAAGAGAAGCCCCCCTGGTTTCAAAACCCCCAGCAACTGCACAAGGGCAACGCTGTCTAATCCTGCAGGCAGGAGACATAAAATATCATGACTGATAATGATATCAAAATAGCCTTGGGGATAGGCGCTGCCGGTATGGGTAATATCCAGTAGCCTGATATCAGCATCAACTGCCTGCTGCGCGTAGGACACTGCATCTGTTGAAAGATCGAACCCAGCGATATCTGAAAACCCTTTTTCTTTGAGGAATGCCAACAAACCTCCTGTACCACAGCCCGCATCAAGTATCCGGGGGTGACCTGTTAGACTGCTTTTTTTAATTGTCTGCAGTGTAAGCTCATGTAAATCACGGTACCACCAAAGCTGTCTTTCACATTCGGCCATTGCATCGTATTCATGTCTTTTGCCTATCATAAACCCCGGGTATTATATTTTCATTAAACAAAGCTTCATTTCCCTTTGTATTCACTGATTTTTTAATGACATACTGGGGTGTATTGTTCAGTGCCATCAGGATCTTTCCAACATATTCTCCCAGCAGCCCTATTACCACAAATACAAGGCCTATCAGAAAAAGCAGCAGAATGGCCAGGAAAGACCAGCCGGGCGGCACATCATGAATAATAACTTTTTCTACCATTATATACAGGGTAGCACAAAAAGAAACCAGCGATATGATGCCTCCGGCTATGGTAATAAACCGCAGGGGCCTGAAGGAAAAATTGATAAACATATTAAGGTAAAGCGAGAAAAGTTTGCGCAGGGTATAATTGGATTTTCCCTCCTGCCTGTTTTCGTGCAGCACCGTAGCAGTGCCGATATTGTCTGTACAACGCAGCACCAGTGCATCAATATAGGGAAAAGGGCCTTTGTACAATATTATCTCCCTTACAACCTCCTTTTTTATCAGCTTAAAACTGCAGAGATACAGGTCCTTTGGCTTTTTAAGCAGGTACACAGCAAAAGCACTGTTCAGTTTGCTGTAGATATTGCGTATAAAAGAATGCTGCTTCACGTCATAACGTGCATATACCACATCATAATTCTCCTTTACTGCTTTGTTCAGAAGAACAATAATTTCTGAAGGAGGGTTCTGTAAATCGTCGTCAATGATGGCTGCATAATCGCCCGTACAGAAATTCAGGCCGCATATAACGGCATTGTGTTCCCCGCTGTTCTTGCGGAGCGAAATAAATTGCACCTGCTCATTTTCTGCAGCCAGGTCTTCGCAAATGGATTCACTCCTGTCCTTACTGCCATCGTTTACCAGCACCACTTCCAGGTTGTAGGCCTGCAGGGTGTCAAAAAGCGAATATACCAGTTGCCGGATAGTATCCTGGCTGTTATAAACAGGTATCACCACAGATAATTTCATATCAATTCAATTAGTTTGATTACTATTAATTTTTATAAACAGGCTGTGGTGCAGCAGGAAGCAGGTAAACAACTGAATAACCTTCCGTTTCCGGAGGCTACTTTACAGGCAGTCAGTTACCATAAGTAGTCTTTCAAAATGACAGTAGCAATCTTTTGGCTGTATAGGAGCAGTGATTATTTACCGATGGCCAAATATATGAATTTGTAAACATTAACAGTCTACAAAGACTGTTGCCATTAAAAAATCCCTTCTTTTGTGAAAACCAAGTTAGTATCTTTCCCAAAAATAAAGTCCATGCCAATCAGCAGCCGGATACTGATCATCTTCTGCCTCAGCTTGCTGGTGCTGCCTTTAAAGGCGCAAACAGACAGCAGTCAGCTGCGCATCAGCCTGCTTACCTGCGGGCCGGGTGAAGATCTCTATTCTATCTGGGGGCATACGGCCATCAGGGTGATAGACACGGCGCACCAGGCTGATGTAGTATTTAATTACGGCACTTTCGACGACAGCGATCCGTTGTTCTACATCAAATTTACCAGGGGCATTATGATCTATTCGGTAGCACCGTATGCCTTTCCTGATTTCATGACAGAATACCAGCAGGGTGGGCGGTCGGTTACAGAACAGGTATTGCAACTCAACGCCGCTGAAAAGAAACAATTAACAGCAGCGCTCTGGAAAAACACTGAAAAAGAAAACAGGGATTATCCCTATCATTTCTATGCAGACAATTGCACCACGCGGGCAAGAGATATCCTGATGAACAATATGGATACCGGCGTGCAATATAAAAATATCCGCCCCCAGCCTGCCAGCAGCACTTATCGCCAGCTCATCCATAGCTATATGAACAGCAGTAACCAGGCATGGAACCGCTTTGCCATTGATGTGCTGCTGGGCAATCACCTGGACGAAACCATGACCAACAAACAGGCGATGTTTCTGCCGGATTACCTGATGAAGGGCTTCGACAGTGCCAGCATACGCGGACAGGCACTGGTGGCACAAACCAACCAGCTGCTGCCCGATGCACGGCAAAATACCGGGCGTTTGTTTACGCCTGTTGCCCTGTTTGCTGTGCTGCTGCTGGTATTGCTGATCGTTACCCTGCTGAAAAATAGTACTGCGCAGAAAATAGCCCTTGTACTGGACAGCGTCTTTTTCCTGCTTACCGGGTTGCTGGGTGTACTGATGTTGGTTTTATGGCTGGCACGTGTTGACAGTGTTTGCAGGAATAATTACAACCTGCTCTGGGCACTGCCCACGCATACCGTCATTGCTTTTGTGGTGGGCAAACAAAAAACATGGATTAAATATTACTGGATGATAACTGCGGTACTGAATGCATTACTGCTGCTTACCTGGAAATGGCTGCCACAGGAAATGAACAGCAGCCTGCTGCTGGTGGTAGCTATATCATTGTTCAGAAGTACCGTGCGCTGGCAAAACATAAAAAAATCATGACAAGAAAACAACTCCGCCTGCAGAACAAACAGGTTTTCTACTCAGTAATGGGCGAGGGCAAACCGGTGGTATTGGTGCACGGATTTGCCGAAGACAGCGATGTATGGAGGAACCAGTTGGCTGCATTGGCCCAAAACCACCTGCTGATTATACCCGATCTGCCCGGCAGTGGCGGGTCTGAACTGCAGGAAGACATGAGCATTGAAGGAATGGCGGAATGTGTAAAGAATATACTGGATTACGAATTACCCAACCAAAAGGAAGAAAACAGCATTATCATGATTGGCCACAGCATGGGTGGCTATATAACCCTTGCTTTTGCAGAAAAATATGCTGGCCGGTTACAGGGCTTCGGGCTTTTTCATTCATCCGCTTTTGCAGACAGCGAAGAAAAGAAAACCGCCCGCCGCAAGAGCATAGAATTTATACAAACGCATGGTAGCTATGAATTTATAAAACAGTCTGCACCCAACCTTTTTACAGAAGACTACCGTATTAAAAACGGTGATAAGGTGGCTGATATGATTGCACGTTATAGTAATTTTGACCAGCGGGCCCTGGTGGCTTATTATGAGGCCATGATACAGCGCCCGGATCGCACAGCTGTATTGAAGTCGTTTGGTAAACCTATCTTATTCCTTATTGGTAAAAACGATAAGGCAATACCGTTTGAAGACAGCATGAAGCAATGCCATATACCCCAGCTGGCAACCGTTGAGATCCTGGCAGCATCGGCCCATATGGGCATGTGGGAAGAAAAAGAAAAAAGTAACCAGGCCCTGTTGTCTTTCCTGCAGCAAATACAACAGTTTACCCTGCATTGAACTTGTGAATGAAAAAATTATTGGCAGCAGGTATCGCAATTTTATGCTTTATCCCCCTGTACGCAGCACATGTACGCGGGGGTGAACTCTCCTATAAATACCTGGGGCCAGGTGTAGCGGCCAATACTTCCAGCTACTTGTTAAAGCTGAAACTGTACATTGACTGTAATGCCAA